GGCCACTATGAGCAACTTGATGTGGGTTCTGGCTCTCTGCAAGAGCAGTAACTGCTCTTCACCACTGAGCTGTCTTCAGTCCCAACCCCGTCTCTTTTTTTTAGCTCTCCTTACACCTTAATCACATTAGAGCTAGAAGAACAAGTAAAACATCATTGCAATGAACATCTGGATTGGGATTTACTAAATGCTCCTTTGTCTATACATTTTTATTGGAAACACAATTCACATGGTTGGTAGCTGCCCTTGTGCTGATAGTTTAGTAGTTACAGTAGAAATGGTCTTGCTTATGAGACTTGTAATATTTAAGAATTGGCCTTTAAAAGATTTGTAAAAATTCTACTTCTGTGAATTTGTGAGTGTGTCTATGTGCTAGGATGAACAAGCCTATACAGGTGCTGGTGGAGGTCAGAAGAGAGTGTTGGGAGTCTGAATGATTACAAGACACAGTAAGGACACATGAACTCTAAGTCAATGGCTAATTGAAAGAGGTGCAATAAGGAAATGCAAAAATACAAATGACTCCTAGAGGTTCCAGTTTTGATATTTGGGCAAGTGATGCTATCTTAACCAAGGAAGGACACAGATTCAAGGACCTAAATGTGAAGGTTATACTGAGGGGGAGAAGATATGATTTTGTTTAGATATATGCCATAGTTGAGGATGCTTAGATTACACCCAATAGAAATAATAGATAGGACTTAAGATCCAGGAGGAAAATCTGAGCAAAACAGGAAAGTTTGGAACTGCTTGTGCCAGAACAAGACAATAAAGCCTGGATGTTGCAAGGCATGTGATTTAAAGTAGTCCCATGCAGAAATTGCTCCTTACCACAGATTCACTTGCCAAGTTCCACACACCATTTTTCTCAGCACACTCTTAGGCTATCATGTACAGTTGATCTCATTATTCATCTACTTGCTTAAATTGGTGTCTCCAGAAACAACATTCCTGGTGACTCATGAGCATTTACAGACTACTATCAGTGATCAAAGCAAAACCAAGCTGAGCGAGGCTCCTTGCTCTTAGGTTGGCTTGATGGACTTCCTCCTGCATTCAGAGCCTGGGCCTTGGCTTATGCTGCCCCACACTAGAAGGATGCCCCTGTGTCAGGACAGACTGGCTGGCTTGTGAGTCCTCTCTTGTACTTTAAATAAAACTGTCTTTACTTTGATTTGGATTGAAACTTCCTAAGGAAAAAACTGGTCTTATTTTTTCAGTGCCGATAAATGAACCTTAAAGGTTTTCTTTGTCTTTTTCTTGTGGGGTTAGGGTGAGGCTGGGTTTTGTTGTTTTGGTGGTTTGAACTCCAAATTTTACATGTGCTAAAGCTCTTTTGAGTGAATATGCTAAGTATGCATGGGTTTCAGACGATGCTAGTGTCACTATTTTTAAAATCAAGATGAGAGCCTGCATAATGGATTTTTTGAGGAGGGGCTTGAATTAAAAATGTTAAACCAAATTTCTCACCAAAATATGCCTCCTCCCTTTATGCAAGGCAGATCTTCCCAAAGGAATTAGGGACCCTCTTTCTCCTGTACCCACAGTCTAGGTCACCTGCTGCCTTTTGTTAGAAAGTTTACATAAGGGTTGGTCTCATAGAGAAGGCTCTGAGTCTGAAATTGCCAGAAACATATTTGTGGCTTCTGTCATGATACTGTTTGAAAATTTTTTCAAAGAAAAATGCACCTAACAGAACTTGTTCTCTGCCAAGGTAACTTCACACTGTGTGTAGAGCAGTGTATGTTCACAGAGCTTTTAGGACCTCCAAAAGCACATACTAATATTGATTTCGTTTAACATGATGAAGTGTCTTGCTGTGTGTTTGGTCCCTATATCTAGAGGACTGTGATGTGGCTTGTGGAGAGAATTTAATGTTAGAAAACCAAGATTCAGGAGTTCATATGTGGGGACACCAGACCTTGAGCAGAGACCCACTTCCCCATCAGCCTGGGAGTAGGCAGCTGTAAGACAATGTTTACTAAAAACATGTTTACTAAAAACAATACAATGCCTGGGGCAATAAGTTCCTGAAAAGGGCTAGCCCACAGGAACCACCCTGTCCTCGACCTTTTCCAAAGACTAACCGCATCCTCAGACCCACCCACATCCACCTCTGGTGTCAGGGTATATAATAACCAGTCAGAGTAGGAATAAAGGAGAGCCTTCTTGAGGAGCCTTCGGGTCTATGTGTTGTCAATCCCTGACACCCTCACCACATTCTCGGACACAGGCTGCACAGCAGGCACGACATTCATACTTGTAGCCACGAGTTCAGCATTAATGTTAGGCACAGGTTTTTGTTTGCTTTGGCTTTTATGAGACAGGGTCTTGTAAATGTCATTCTGTAAATCTGTCTCTCTTATCGGTTGTTGAATAAAGCACTGTTGGCCAATAGGAAAGCAAGATAGCTGGGACTATCTTGGAGGAATCTGGGAAAGAGGGGAACAGACAGACACCATGTAGGCCACCAGAGTAAGAGGTCTGGACCCTTTTCTCCAGAGAAATACTTAGATTAACAATTATGGGCTAAATACTTAAGTCAGAGCTAGCCAGTAAGAAACCAGCAAACGGCCAACAGCTTCATAATTAATACAGTGTCTTGTGTGTTATTTGAGGACTGCAACTGTGGCAGGGCCCAGGCGGCTGGCAAGGAAGACTACAGGTTACAGGGTCTCACTGTATAGTCCAGCTAGTCTGTATGCATCTGAACATGCAGAAGACCCCCTGCCTTTGTCTCTTCAATATGGGCATTACAGGCATAAACCACTATTTCCAGTCAGTCCAAAGCAATGTAGATTATATATATATATTGGTTTTAGGAGACAGGGTTTCTTTGTATTGTTTTGGAGGCTGTCGGTCCAGCCCGGCCTCGAACTCACAGAGATCCTCCTGCCTCTCTGCCTCCCGAGTGCTGGGATTAAAGGCATGTGCCACACTGCCCGGCCGTAGATTATATTTTATGGGGTCTTTATCTTTAAGCAGAGATACAGTAAGTGAGGCTGTATTAAGATTATCTGCCAAAGAAAAGTGTTATAAGCTGAAGTTACTCAAACCCACCCTTGCGTTTCCTGGGGGGCAAAGCTTCAGAACTCAGAAGAGTGGGAGCCTTATACAGAATGTAGCTGTTACCATCATGAATGATGGGATCAACACAATCTCAGTCACAGATGTAGACCTCTCAGATGCTTACCTTTTATACAGAGTGACCTGCACAGACATGTGTTATTATTAGGGGACAGGCCTGTTTGTTTTCAAACTTGTATGGCTTTTCCAATGGACAGGATCAAATAAACACACTTGTACCAGAAGAGCACTCACAGACTGCCTGTGTCAAGGCTAGGCCTTCTGGGACGGTTTTAAGAACAGCAAGTATTAATATTCTTTAAGCACAAGGCAAATGTAAAGAAAAATGAAGGAAAGTGCTTTTTACTTCTTAGAAACAAGGACCATTAAACTGACAATGAGCAGCCTTTTGGGTTTTTTTTTTTTGTTTTTTTTGTTTTTTGTTTGTTTTTTTACAAGACAGGGTTTCTCTGTATTGTTTTGGAGGCTGTCGGTCCAGCCTGGCCTCGAACTCACAGAGATCCACCTGCCTCTGCCTCCCGAGTGCTGGGATTAAAGGCGTGAGCCACCACCGCCCGGCTCGCCTTTTGGGTTTTTAATCTAGAATGTTCATATAACATTTGTTGCATAAACAGTATGATTGTTCAAAGAAAGGATAGCAGGACAATCAACTTTATGTGAGCTTTACAATTAGTACTCAAAGTAATTTTGTAAATGTATAAATTAGTAATGACTTCCTAGTTGAAAGTCAGATACTTTTAACACAATTTGGAATTAAATACAGTCACACAACAATGACATAATTCTAAGCTGAATATCAAACCCAAACTTCAGGCTAGCGGTAGGACACAATTCTTAAGAACTAAGACTGGTAAATGCTGGATAGAAGGTTAAATGACAACCCACGGACCATTTGTAATCCACCCCAAATGAAGGAGCCGTGCCATAATGACACTGTCACCAGCCGCCTGCCACAGGAGAAATGCTGACTCTAAGACAATGGCTTTGTCTCCTTACAACTGCCGAGCCAGTGCTGCGGACTTGTATTCAGTGATTGTAATTCCAGTTTACTGGGTAACCTCAGCTGGGGGAAATAATGAAAATGACAATCCCATTGCCTTCTATACACCACCTGTTCCAAAATCTCACCTGCCCAGACCCATCCAAAACAGCACCAAGTTTTATGGACTATCCTACTTCAGCAGCTCTCCTGAGATGTGAGGTGGGTGCTTTGATTCCCAGAGGGGCTCTCCAGGTTCCTACTGAAGCAAGAGACGTCATCTGCTCTTGGTGGGCTTGTTCTTCGGGCTTGCAGGGAAAAGATTAAGAATTAAGGAATTTTCAGAGAGATTCTCTCAAAAGACATTCATTTCCACATTTCAACATGGGAAATATTTCAATTCACCTTTATGGAAAAACCGTTTTTATATTCTGTGTACAGCCACTATCTACTGTTTTACAATAAACAATTTCTCAAGAAGAGGTGCCAGAGTTCACAACTTGGTAGCCCATTAACTAAGGGGAACAGGCAAAGTATCTCAGGATTTTTCAGAGAAAGAAAGACAATGAAAAGTGATTTTTTTTTAACAAATGGCTTAAAATTAAATTTTCAAATGTTAACTCTTAGGGTCGGGTATTAATACTTTTTAAAGTTTTACAATAAAATACCACCTTTTGGGAAAGTAATCACTTTCCCTAATGATCAACTAACAACTTTACCTGAATTAACACTGGTGGAAAATACACAAGCATTCAATAATTGATCAACAACTCTTCAGCTTTAGACACACAAAAGTTAAATGTAGCATCTTCAAGTGTTTAGCTTACTGGGCCAACAGATGACTTCCTACAGAGTACATCTTTATTATTCCCAAGACAGGGCTCCTTTGGCACCTGAGTTGAGCACAGTACACAAGCAAAGAGTCTACACAAGGTTGTTTAAAGGCTGTTTTATCTTTCTATGCATATACATACACCTGTACACATACACATATGCACACACATATACAAAGGACGGCTTCTCCTTAAAAGATGACAAAGATAAAATGGACTTGATATTTAGTCAAACACCCAATGCCCATTTAAAATAGTTTAAAGTCATCTAAAGAATTCAGGATTTATTAACAATTTCAAGAATTTACAGGTTGTTAGACTGAACCCACTTCAATGTGGAAATACACAGGTTTTTTTTTTTTGGCAATGGAGTTTAATATAGTAGCATATTCATTTGACCAGTTATCTTAATACGACATTACTATAGACCTTTTATGGACACAAATGGGAAATCACCAGAGCATTCCTCAAGCCCCTCCCATCAGGACTGAACATAGTTATTGACCACAGACTCGATGACAGACTCATTTGTGTTGTTTCCAGCAGAACACACACACACACACACACACACACACACACACACACACACACACACACACACACACACACACACACGGACCCTGAAGACAGCTGCTTGTCAAGCCTCCTCACTCACCAGGAAATTCACATAACAACTCCAAGCAATGCATAATGTCTTATGCTACCTACTAAGGACTCTGGTGTTAACAGTTCTACCTTCTACCAATGTTCTGGTACTTTTGTGGGTGACTAATTGATGGGCTTGTGTTCTTGGACTTAGGAGATGCCCAACACTAAGTAAGCTGCCCAGACTTAACATTCCCTTCATGAATATGTCTAACTGATTGAGTTAGAGCACATTTGGTTTTACCCATTCTCCTCCCCTCTGATATTTCCAAAGGATGAGGAGGGCTCTTTAATTTACATACCACAAATATCCATCTTTAGGTCTGATGTATGAGTGTGCAAGCACATCTGAGTTGGAAAACGATCTATACTTTGACTCAGCTTACAGAGAAGCAGCCTGGATCGGCCTTGCCTCCCCTCTGCTTTGCCTGACAGGCCCTCTCACAGAGTACACTGCACACAAAGGAAGTTTTACAGTTTTCAGTTCGTGGTAACTGTGAAGCATTTTCAACTGCAAATGTCTCTGGAGTATTAATAATGAATAATGTCTCGTTACATATTGTGGTTTATACTTGACACTGTTTCCTCAAACAAATTCTGTCAATAGTCATGCATAGGGCTCGCCTTAGAGAGAACCTACATATTCCAATATTTTCATTTTGTTCCATCTTCTCTAGCCATAATATAACCCATTTTTCTTGATATGTAAAATATTTTAAAAGTTCAACTGAACTTGAATTCTTTAGTTGCATGTAAACTCACATGCACAATTTACATTTTTGTCATATATTTAAATATTTTTCTCTGTAAAACAATTTCAGGACAGGAAATGATATGCTAGCAAAAAGAAACCTAGCATTTAAACTGTTCCCTAAGTTGTTCTAAGCAAAAGTGCATTTATAATATAAACATATCATATATGAAGCTAAAAACACAATCTCACACCAGAGAAGATTTTAACTTTCCAAGTCAGTCCAGATGAGTCACAGAGAAAAGTGCTAACACAGCAAATCTGGAACAAGTTCGTGGGGGCTGGGCAAGGAGTCATCAAAACGAAATCTTTTAGAGATCATGCTGCTATCCTCAGGGATATTCTCCTTGTCCTCCCGGTCTCCACAGCTTCCATTACAGGAGGACTTTGGGGTCTTCTCTTCAGAGGACCTGAGGGTATGATCCTGGATTTGAGAGGAATCTGACGTTTCCTCAGGGTGAAACAAGCTTCCAAAGTCCCACTGCTGCAGCCAAGAATGAGAAAGGCAGGACTCCGCTGTTGGTCTTTTCCTTTGGCAGAAAGCAGAAAGGGAAAAGTGAGCATGTGAAACAAGATGAGGACGTCTTTCAATTACATTTTAAAATGAACATGAAGATAGCACATATCATAAAGTCCCACCAGTATAGTAGAAACAGCTAATTTTTATGAACTGCTTAGGCATATGTCACAGGGCTATTTCACATGCTTCAATACAGTACTTAATAATCATAAGAAACCTAAGAAATAGGTTCCATTATTGTCACTTAACAGATGATTGAAGGAGATACCAAAAGACTTGTATTTCAGGCAAATTTTCCCAAGCTGTCGGTATTAAGTTACAGTCTAGATACTGAATGTCTCCTAAAAGGCCCTGTGCTATCAAACTTAGCCAACAACCTGTGACATTACTGGAAGGTAGTAGAACCTTTAGGATAGGCCTTGCTGAAGGCAATCGGAACACTGACGATAACCGTGGTAGAGATAAAGTAACTGAGCCTTCCTCATAGGGCCTGTCAGGTTCCACCTCGCCACAGCCCCAAGCAGCAGAGACAACTGGCACACACTGAGAGGTCTTGAGTGAACCTCTCCTCCTTGCAAGTGAAGGTCTGTATTATCCTCTCATGGCAATGAAACCTGCCTAGAGTCAAGCGGAATCTTGGTCTACAGTTTGTACTTACAAGTATCTACCTAAGGAAGTGAAAAGTAAAATTATTTTCTCCATGTGACCTCCAGATAGTTCCTCTATGACCATTTTTGTCATTTGCATACCTGATAATGCACCAATCACAAACTATGCATCTTAGTGACCTTCCACATAGTTAGGATGGTATTCTGAAGCAATGGAGCTTCCCTTAGGGTTTTACACTTTCACTGTCAATTACATTTGTATGCACATACCACACACACACACACACACACACACACACACACACACACGGAAAAGAAAAAACTGAGAGAGAGCTGAAACTAGAAAAACAATTGACAATTGACTTTATATGCTCTTTTATGACTCATGAGTCCTTTGGTCTGCATTCTATCCTTCCTTATCACTTAATGTCACCCTGTCTTAGTCTCTTTCCTAAATGTTATACTATACTTACACTTTGAGCTCTTTACATCTATACATGCATATATTATAATCTAAAATACACATATCCGGGAGACCATACAAGCTGTTCCTCTAGTTTGAGGCACCTCGCTCAGTATACTTTCTAAGTTCACCCATTTTCCTACGAATTTCATGATTTTTCTTTACAACTGAGTAATATTTCATTTTGTATATGTACATTACCCATTCATCTACTGATGAGCATCTAGATTGGATCTATTTTCTTGCTATCATAAACAATCATGGGTGTACAAATATCTCTATGGTAGGATATAGGGTGTGAAATAGCTGGGTCATCTAATAATTTAGTTTGAATTTTAGAGAATCTACAAGTTAATTTCTATAATGAATATATGGAGTCTCACAAGCAGTGAATAAGGATTCCTTGTTCCCCAAATCCTCTCCAACATGAGTTATCAGATTTGTTGATAGCCACTCTGACTGACTGAGGTGATAACTCAAAGTAGATAATACAACTTAAGTATCTTTCTATAGCAACACAGAATTGACAGATATTTTATTTGTCACTTCCATTCTGGTATACCACAGTCTGTTTAACCAGACCCCTACTGGTGCTTCCAACATCATGTTGTTATAAACACTGGTCTGATGAACACTAAGGAAACGCTTTCTAGAAACCTGGTTGATTATCTCCAGAACAGGGATTTGATTTTTGTATTTTGAAACATGGTTTTAGGAGTCCTCCCAATTACCTCTAATATTCAACAATACCAGTATCTTCTAGAGGACTATGGAAAACAATTAAGTTCTTATAGTATTCCACATGTACTTTTTGGAACTTTCTTCTTTAATCTTTGTCATACATGTTCGTTTTCAGTCCTAGGGATCAATCCCAGGGCCTCACACAAATGAAGGAAATGCTACCATTTAGCTTCACCCTCAGTCCATGAATTCACATTTGTGTAAGGCAATACAAAAAAAAAACCTGTTTCTATAAATGTCTTCTTAGAGAAAACATTAGTCAATGACAATGACCACGCTTGCTTGCCACTGACTATAGAACAATGGGAATTGCACTTAACTTTTAGATATGCTTTATTACAGAATAAACACTTGCTTTATTTTCTAAGGATGATTGTGATGGTTTGAAAGAAAATGGCCCCCAAAGGGAGTGGCACTATATGGAAATGTGGCCTTGTTGACGGTGTGGTCTTGATAGAGGAAGTGTGTCACAGCAGAGGCCTCATATATGCTCAAAATACTACCTAGTGTCTCAGTTCACTTCCTGTTGCCTATGAATCAGAGACATAGAATTCTCTAATACCATGTCTGCCTGTTATATTCCCAGCTGTCATGCTCCCTCCCTTCCATGATGATAATGGACTGAACTTCTGAAACTGTAACCTGCCACCTCAATTAAATGTTTTCCTTTATAAGAGTTGCCATGGTCATGGTGTCTCTACACAGCAATAGAAACTCTAACTAAGATGATTTTTTTAAGCCAAACTGGTCAGTTCAATACTGCTAGTAAGTGAAATACTGCATGCTTCAATTATACACAAAGACACAGAATGGAGAGAATTGGACAATGATGAAGGAAATGGCTTTGCATTTCCTCTTCGCCTCCACATCTGGTATCTGCTCATAGAGAGGTTCCTTTTATACACGAAGATGCTCCTGTTCACAACAGTTGAGAGGAAAACTGCAGTGCAGATGCTGTCATCCTGACCTATGCTGAACAATAAATGTGTCAGAAAACTAGATGAGAATCTAGTCAAGCTTGAAGGCATGTGCTGGCCAAGCAAAGAAATGTTAGTGAAATTATCAAAATCCTTCAGTTCAGAAAGTCTCTGGAAGAACTATAAATCGAGAATTATTTTCTGCATTAAAGTTTATGCTCTTAAAAATAGTGACTGCTCCTGGGCATTGGAAGCAAACGCCTTTAACCCCAGATCTTGGGAGGCAGAGGCAGGTGGATCTCTGTGAGTTCAAGACCAACCTGGTCTACAGAGTGAGTTCCAGGACAGTCACAACAGTTACACAGAGAAACCCTGTCTTGCAAAAAAAACAAAAAAAAACCAACCAAACAAACAAAAAAACTAAAGGAAAAAAATAGTGACTGCTAAATCTTGAAAAGACTGATTTCAATGATATTTACCCAATACTTTGAGTCTTAAAACTGCTTCTTTATTCAAAAGTAGGGGAAATATGTATAAACTCAAATGTTAAATAGGAATCATTTGGTAGATATTTCTAGTTTTTTGTTTTTGTATATAGTCTTTTATAATTAAAGTAGTAATGTTCTTATTACAAAGAATTTAGACTTTAAGCAAAGACTATTTAAGAAAACAAAAATGGCTTGTAAACAGAAACCACAATATTATTTATATGAAATATATATTCATGTCCAAAATACACAGAGTTGTTTTTGTTGTTTATTTCTTTTATTTCATCTTGCAGATAAAGAAACTGGGTCTTCTAGGAGATTAACTGCCAAGAACAGAAGTCTGAAAAGTATGACCACTGGCCCTGAGGAAACAAGCCAGCCTTGAAGAAGAGCTGGGCCTCTCCTTGCCTTGAAGCTGACAATGGTCAAGGGTCTGGAGGTAGGATCAGGTAGGATCAAGTCCTTTCTTCAGTAAATCCCATGAAGCATTGCATTGTAAGCATATGTCAGGGTGAAAGATACTCTGTGCCCAAGGCTTTCTATTTTTAAGCAACAAAAATTTGAATATTCTTATATATAAAGTGAACCCACTCTTGAGCAGATATCTAATCCTTTAAGATTTAGAACAATGTCACACTTTGCACAAAATACAGTCTTCCCCAGGACCCCACCCACTTTCCTTTCAACTTTCATGTCACCCCATCATGGTTTCCAAACATGGGATAAAACATGTATTACTTGCATTTTTTGTGTGTATAGAATGTATCTTCTTAATAAACACGTGCAATTTGTTTTGTAACTACATTTAATTAATGTCATTACTTACTCTGGATTCTTTACTAGAAGGCTCTGGATGAAGTCTGTGGCCAGTTGTGAAACTGATGAGAAAGTCTCTTCTGAATAATCTACATTAACTTGAGAAATATTCAGGTATGTTTCTTGATTATCTTCTCCTACAAATGGTGATGTATGAGTTAACAACATATATGCTATTATGCCAATATTCCTGAAAAACAAATAAGGGATAAATAAACGTACATTAATTTAACATTTATAGGCAATACAATTAATAGTTCACAAATTCCTGTCCTTGAAACTGTCAGTTTAAAAAAAAAGAGAGAGAGACTTAAAATGCTTCTAGGGATTACTATACTATACAAACAAATAGTTGTTACTTCCATTTGCCTCACAAAGAGAACAGGGAGTCCACACTTATGTTACATATAACATCAACATAATCCATTGAAAATATCATTTTATTTATAGTCTATACAATGTTCAGTATAGACACATGCTGGGTACAAAAACCAGCTGCAGTTTTAAGTCTGTCCAATGACACAATAATGATCTGAGTGATATAACCAGGGTTTTGCGCAAACTCAATCTGCAAGTTTGGCAAAGCACAAGATTGGATGAGCAAAAGTTTTCAAGTTGTAAATATGCTAAGGTCAATGCTGGTGAGGAGCTAGAACAAGACAACACAGCATGCTTTACACATGTGCTAGTCACCAGATCTTCTGTATCATTGTAAACCGTTAGTTTCAAAGAACCAGGAGAATAAGGCTAAAGTCTGCACTCGGTTTAGGAAGTCATACAATCTGTTCTCACAACAGAAATTCTGTTGCCAATTCTGGTGCTACTCCCTGTCGGGGTCTCTCTGAGATAGCTGCGAACCACACAATTCCCTAGAGGTGAACCCTGTCAACTGAGCTTCTGTGTCCATTTGACCTCCTTCTGCTCAGTAATGCCATGACTAACCCTTCTAGACTCGCACAGCTAAGCACAGCATCAGGCCTGGCTGTGACTGACCAGCTGCGGCACCGTAGCTTCTTGAGCGTTTTACTTGACTACAGAGTATGTGTCACTGATTGGGGCTGCTCAACTGATGTGCCTGGACAGAGGGAGTTCCTACTTCTGAGCCTCTGGCTCGAGAGCTTACTGAAAAGAACAGGCAGGTCAAAAGTCTTCAATGATATCTTCTGAATAAAGCCTCTGAAAGAAAGTCTTATTTTTTAGCTATTAATTTTTTAAAAAAACTACATATCTATTATTTGATTATGAAAGATGGTATTTAGATAACCTATAGATTCTTACCACATATCTGTTGCTGTGGTAATGGGATCATAGTTGAGGATTTCTGGAGCTGAAAGAGAAAATTAAATTAAGACTCAACATAGGCAAACTTTAAAATACAATAATCATCTAGCATTAAATTACAGCTTGAATTGCTTATAGAAGGCAGAGTAATACAATGCCAGTAGGAATTTAGTGGAGTTTTAATTATCTTGAGATTATATGCTAAGACATATCTAATATTATGAAAATTGCATGATGAAGTGGGCAGTAGGCCAAGTCATCTCTGCACTTCTCGAGGGGCAACTGTGCATGAGGGAGAGCCAGCGGATCAAAGCGGATCTCAGAAAAGCCATTGTGAGGAGATGAAATGGAAAAACCCACAGTCTTTACAACTGTAGTTTTACTGCTTTGTTATTAATTTATATTATTTTGTTAGCCTTAGGTAAGCTTATCTTTTCATGAATCATGTACTTATAAAGACATTGTAAGAAAAAAATGAGGCTTCTTACAAATGATAAGATTTTCAAGCAGATTATATTTAAATCATCAAAAACCTAACTTCCTAAGCAATTTTTGGCTGCCTCTTTCCTTCCCCCCTCCAAAAGGAAAAGTAAATTCTCTATAGTTCCTGAACTTTACAGTAAATTTCCAATTAGTAAAGCTCAAAACTGAAAACTGTTTCTCAATATGGTTTTATAATCTCTTCAAAAAAAGTTCTTAACTCTAACATTCTCATGAATGATACCTTTGAATCATATACGCTGTCAGCCTCAGTAAGCTACCTATGACCTTCCAGTATACATCCGAGAGCTATGTTATCATTAACTACAGCTGTGTATTCTAGGACACTATAGCCTGTATTAGGATCCAACAGTTAGTAATTTTCATTTTTGGGAGAAAACTGCCTAGCTTATGGGACTTGCTCTGTTAGCTTTATCTTTTCAATGAGGATGTTCATTTGGGCAGTAACAGAAGGTAAAAATATTACTGCTATTTCTAAATATTTGAAACTTATATGCTGTTTAACACATCTTAAGAATCTTTTGTAGGTGTAATCAATATTTTTGATTTAGTACATTACTCCCAGATTACATCACCTTTGGTATCCCTTCCCCCCAACACACCTTTACAGCCCTATTAACAACTCTTACATTTGGAAACAGTAGCAACAAATAACAAATGACACCCACAAAACCAAAGACTGCATAGAGCTTTGGGGCTAGGACCAGACAGAAGTAGAAGTGAGAGCTATTCAACAGGCAGACTCTGGCTCATAGGCCACTGGGTTCTGTTTCTCTCCTCTGCCTTTTGCCTATTTGCTACTGATTTCCCTTTTATACTTTTTTCCTTACATACAAAGCCAGTAGAGACAAGCACTATGCTTTTACACTTAGCCAATGTCCTTGAGTTGTTCTAAATGCTTAATATATCCTTGTATTCACTATAACTCATTTAATGAGTCATATCCAAAGCTGAATACATTAAACTTTTTGAATCAGATGAATCCTGGTATTGTGTAATCTAAAGTATGTGAGGATCTTTCTGGTTTTGGTGCTAAGCAAGCATTCCACCACATGAGCTTCATTTCTATCATAAAATACAATTTTAAAGAGGTATCTATAATTTCAAAATGGCATACAAATCAATTGATTTCTTACCTAAGTATTCAGGTGTTCCCATGATTTCCCGAAGTTCACAAGCATTCCCAATTTTTCGAGACATTCCAAAATCTACAATTTTTATGTCCCCAAGTGGGTATATACTGCTCAATAGTATATTCTGTGGCTAAATAAAGCACACGAAAGGTGATAAGCAACAGAAAATAAAAGAGGACTTTTCTAGACTGAAGATAAAGCAAGTATAACTTGTTGCTTAGCTCTTACATATTTCTTAGAGCACTTCATCTAACATCCTCTGAATTGCTAATTAGGAGGAGTACACATTTAATAATGAAGGAATTAAAAAGGCAGTCAAGATGGATTTTCAGTGTAAGATGTTGGGTTCATTTTGAGACATGAAATACATAGTAATAAAGATAAGGGCAGCACATTCTGCCCACAAAATGTTCAAGTGATGAACACACACACATACCTGCACATATGCACTTGAGCGCGGGCGTGCGCACATACACACACACACACACACACACACGCGCGCGCGCACACGTACACGCGCGTGCACACACACACACACACACACACACGAAGTCTTAGAAGAAAGCTGATGTTCAGGCTGAGCCTCACAGGAAAAGAAGGAATCTGTCAATCAGAAAGGTGCTCTTGAGACAGCATGAAAGGACTAACATGCATATCCATGTCCACATTAGAAAGTGGTCCTATACAGCGAATGGTTCTAGGTGAGCTGGGCCTGACTGTCCCAGGTTCACGGCTTACACAGTAAGATGTGTGTGTCCTCCACTGTCTCCGAGAGCCATATGACTTGACTTTATTATTGGAGGTGTAGAGACAATGACAAAGTGCCCTGTCAGAACCCATTATAAATGCAGAAGCCCTGCTGACCAACTTTGTACAAAAATCCTAATAGCCTTTTAACTTGGGGACATTAAATCACAAGAGACAAGTAAACTGTTGTCGGCTTCATGGTAACAGTGTTAAAAGTCAGGTTTATGGGCCACCCGACTTCAAGTGCTCTGTGACACAGAGTACTGTGTGACAGTTTGCCTTACACAGGACAAAGACCAAACAGCTGCTGATCACAGATAATCACCTGGCATTTACTATGCTGCCTCTTCCCCAAGCATGTGATTACAGGAGAACAGTGGGGAGGCTAGATGGTTAAAAACTTCCTCCCCCTCCACAGGGGAGCACATACAGATGCAGTTTTTGTTTTGTTTTTTAAAGGGATAGGATAAATAGCTGGGCAATATACATCAAATGACATTGAATCTACAGGTGGAAAAAGATTTGGAAATTAGAGATAGGCCTGGGCTATGAGAGGCAACGATTCTGGAATTACATTATGAAAGTGGCAGAAGAACCCAAAGGCAGGCAAACTATACAGACAGAACAGAATCCATTGTTTAACAGATAGGAGACAGGTTCTTTGGACTTTAAGGCCCGTGTGCAGCTGCAGAGGACAGACAAGGAACACCACCACCAAAGCCCATGGCTCTGGGGACTGCATTGAGGACTCTGATTAACCTACAGAGACAAGGGACATGACACCTTAGAGACAGTGAGTGAGATATGGGGGCAGAGGAATGAGGAAAGGTAAGAGGGTAACAGTCAGTAGTCAGAACCAATCACTTCTAAGTGGGGACGTGTTAGGCAATGTCTGAGATGTGCCTCTTAAAGCAGGAGGGATTACATATAAGGGTGATGGATTTTAAGTGGTTTAATTCAAGCTTACCAGGAGTATATCCTTCTCCTGTCTGCCAATACAAAGGAAAGCCCAATGTGGCGCTACACAGGCAGAGGCACCCCCAAGTCTAGAGGACCATGACACACACCTTATTGCTACCAACACCAGTCTGACACTGAACTACCAAGAACAGAGAAGGAACACTAATGTTGTTTTAAGTCACATTGCCATACCTTTAAATCAAGGTGAACAATGTTATTCTGATGTAGATAATAAACTCCTTCAAGTATTTGTTTAATGAGTCTGATAACATCATTTTCAGATACCATTTCAGCCAACTCAGGTAAACACAGGTTGAAAATTTCTCCACCTGCAGCACTGAAAGAAAATTCAAATACAAGTATTAAAATCATCTATCTAAAAATAACCTTTAAATATTGTATACCCATTAGGTAAATGTCCGTATAAATGTTTGTTGGTATGTGTATACCATCTCAGTGGCTGCCAAGACTAAGAAATATGTATATAGGATATGGTGGCCTCAAACCTAAGTTCAAAGCTGAAAGTTCCAAGCACCAATGCTTCACACTGTAACTGTAAACTGTCACTGACTAATCTGTACATAGCATACCAAGGAAAACCATGAGAATTTGCTGCTAACACTTGTTTTATGACAACATGGGAAAAAATTTCCACTGGTAAAGAGCATGTCTGAAGGCACCAATAACATATACTCCACTTCAATCCTACCCTAATCACTAAAACATGAAAATTCAGGAAAACTGCAATCTGGAAAAAGAAATACATTTATCCTCATGGATATTTAATATACTGGCCACTTTTTTCCCTACATTCTTCCCCAAGGTCTCTTGAGGAAGGAGTAGGAATCCATGGTGTAGGCTGGCAGTACACCTTTACCCCTCCCTTTTTAGCTACACTATTTACAATAACTAAAAATCCTACTCAAAAATAGAGTGGTCTAACTACATTCCTGCAATGGTGCCAGGATAAGATTAGCAATTATAACTGCAAATACAATTCTAAGAAGGTAAGAAAAAATAAAAAGATGACACATTAAGTCTTCAGAAACTTGTTTGCTAGGCACTTAAGGGTACAGAATATACCATGAACTGAGAGCATCACAGAAAGCAAGGCGCAGCTCTGCAGGGCACATATTCTGGCTGTTGCTAAATTAGCTAGTACACTGCATTTTTAAAATGGTTTTCTACAGTGACATATTTAATCGACAGAACTTTGTAATTTCCTCACATTGCTGCCATACACAATTGCAGAGTTATTGCTTGTAAATTATAAGCAAGTTCCCTTTTTAAGTTATTCTGTTTCAAGGGCAGCTTTTGTCTCATAGCCTTCAAGAAAATTAACAAGTATATACTAGTTAATTTTAGTTTGCTCAAAATTCAGCACTATTAAAAACTTTCTATGCTTATTTAGAAAACATTTTCCTTTTACTAGTTTTTGAAGGTATTCTCCTATATATGCCTTTAAAGCAGTTAGTGTGGACAATGCCTTCACTTCATGGAATGGGGATGCAGTGACTCATCTATTCTCAAAATCCCAATCTATAAAAGATGTAACAATACCACCTTCTAGAAAAGCAGCATTTACTTATTTATTCAAACAGCAACAACAACAACAAAAAAAGGACTAAAACAGTCACAGACACATTATAACTAGAATGAATACTTTCATGTGGGCTACGTATGTTGGTAAAAAATAAAAAGATCTAAAACATATTTAAAAGTGACAAGGTGATTACAAGAACTTCGTTTAATTTACAAAAGTAAACGCTTGGTTAAAAAAAGGTTTGGATTGCCAGGTGGTGGTGGCGCATGCCTTTAATCCCAGCATTTGGGAGGCAGAGACAGGTGGATCTCTGTGAGTTCGAGGCCTACCTGATCTACTGAGTGAGTACCAGGACAACCTCCAAAGCTACAAAGAACCCTGTCTCAAAAAAGCCAAAAAAAAAAAAAAAAAAAAAAAAAAAAAGAAAGAAAGAAAAAAGGTTTGGATTGAAGCAAAACTCGAAAATACAAAACTACAATAGAACTATCAGAACCCCTAGCTATATTAATTTCTAAAGAAAGTTTTACATATATTTATAAAGTTAGCAAATGCAGTAACTGAAAAAAGTACATTTTAGAATAACCTTGGGGGATTCAGATTTTGTGTGTAGTTGGACATGCACTTATTCTTTGAGCCAGCAATCAGCTTCCAGGAATTTACCCTGACGCTCCACCTCCACAAATAATACCACCTATGTATGATGGGCTAAATCAAATGGCAAGCCACGCAACGGAGTCCTTTGGAAACTAGCCATACATGGGGTTGGGTCATGGCACAGTGATGTAGCATGTGCTTGTAAAGAATGAGGTACCGAGTTCAACCCTTATTAACACACACACATGCTCGCACACACAAGCGCCAAACATTTTTACATGTCTGAGTCTTAAATTGTGCAAACCTTTTTTTTATAGTTAGAATGATTTTTAACAACGTTCTAAAATATGAAATCCTAACCCTGAATATACACAGAAGCAAATGTACCTAACCTAACTGTATAATTCTGACTCTCTGAATATATGCCATAGCAGGCAATACTTTAAAAGAATGGCAAAAAGAAAAGAAAATGGGGGTGGGGGCTTGGGGGGCGATCCAGTCACTTGCTGCTAGGTGTGGCATTAGCAGGTTCGTGCTGAAGGGCCAGATACCACCCCAATGAAAACCAGACCATCAAGTAGAGTGGGCTGACCAGGTTCAGCCAGGGAAGATTTAAGGAAATATTAATGTGCAGAACCAGAAGTCTTCAAACACTAATCCAATCACATCAGAAAGATACAGAATGGAGATTTAAAGCCTACCTGAAAAATTTCAATCTTTGATAAATTAGGCATACAGAAAAATAATGGAAGAATCTGATTAGGGCCTACTAATTTAATCATAATGGGCTATTTTTAATTATTGCTAGCTAACAGTTTAATGAAACCATTAATACATGGTGATAGTCAAAAGGGAGACAGGGAAAAGAAACACTTTGACTAGAACACCAGCTTAATAAATGTAGAATGAATAATGGGATTAGACAGAGCTATGTCCTGACATCCACTGTAACTGCTAATTCAAGCGAGTATGTCAATGGCTACTGGAATTTCTGCAGGAACGTGTGTCAAAGAGAAGGGTATCCACTAGCTCGTCACTCACATTAGTGCCTAACCACAAGAGGCTGTTCCTTTCTAATGAATGCGAGATCTGGCAGACCACATTACTCATCTTCAAATTCAACAAAACCAGCTGACGTTAATGCTACTTGATGTGACGTACTAAGAGACACACATTATCACCCACACTACTGTCCTTATCAAACATGTTACAATCTAATGATGGGATACAATCAGACAAATCTAGAAAAAGTGGCATTTCCTGTGATAAATGATATGCATTCACCACCCCCAAAAGTCAATGTCATAAAAAACAGAATGATTAAAGAGACTTTACAAATAAATATAACTATGTGAAGCTTGACTGGATTTTGAGCTGGAAAAAAATAATTCTTATAAAACATTTTGGAGACCATCAGAAACATTTCAATGTGGACTAGGAATGACTTAATGCATGATTATGTCTGATGCTCATGTTGGCCACACAGAAAAATACCTTATCCTTCAGAACAAATCCTGCAGTATGCAAAAGAGAAATAACGTGCAATCTTCAAGAGGTTCAGTGAAGACAGCAAAATATCAACAGCTGGTGGTAAACCTTCAAAGTGAGCATTTTCACCATATAAAACATATGCTTCCTTGTTAAAAGTAATCTGTCTGCCAAATGGTTAGGATTAAATGAAAATGTTCATTATGACACTGCCAACACAAAAGTCATAGACACAATGAAGCCCCAATAATAACAATAAATCTTAGTCTTAGCCACTTGAAGAAATTAAATACACTAATCCTCGAACCCTTGATGAAAGCTAGTGATATTTACTAATTCAGCGGGCAAGATACCTGGGTCCATTTTCAGATTGTAAACATGAACTATGCATAAAATCCATCATGTTTCTGAGGAATTTTGTTGTAGCTTCATATAAACTCCAAACCGGATTTTATTGACACAGTCAATGTCCTGTACGTATTCATTCTCCACACCTAGTATTTAATTAACCGTTTTTTATGTTAACAACCTTTCCTACAGCTTACAGGAAGGATTCTATTTAGAGGAAAAGCAGTTGAAGACTCTCTGACAAAAGTAATCATAAAATACATGAAAACTGAAATGGTATTGGCATCCTAATGTTCCTATTATTCTAACTTATTCTGAAGGTCCTATAACAGACTTTCATATGTCTTGTTCTGGGAAACGCATACACTACTCATTGTTCAGTAAACTACATGTCAGTTTAAGCTTTTAGAAATCAGCACCTTTCCTTCACGAACTAATTTTAATCAAATCTATTTCCTTGCACAAAACAATTGATCTTCAAAAACTATATAAACAAATCTCTACTTGCTTACAATATAAATACTAAAACAAAACCCTTGGGAGCTGGAGCAGTGACTTGGCAGGTGACAGGCTTACCGCACAAGCTCCAGGACCAGGCAGATGTGGCAGCCCACCTGCAGTCCTGATGCACAGGAGGAAGGGACAGGGAATCCAAGGAGCCAGCAGGCCCGGCAGACCAGCAGACACAGCGAGCTCTGGGCTCAGTGAAAGACCCAGCCTCGACATATAAAGTAGAGACCAACCGAGGAGGACATCTAAACTCTATCTCTGGCCTCTGCATGTCTGTGCATATGCACACATACCACACACACACACTCCATATACACATAGCTGTGCAAGTAAGATAAAATAGGGCAAATGCACTTTTAAATTCAAAGGGCAATGATATACACTGGCAGGAAAAAAAGAATCACTATAGTTTGCAGCACTATTTTCTCTAAATAGTGCTTATCCCTTTTAGTTTATGCTAAATTAGATTTACTTTATTAAAGCCTATCAAAACCTGAGGTAAACTCAGTATTAATTTACCTGATCTCTTTCCAATATTGTTCATTTTCAAAAATTTGTAACTGTATTTACTGGACGTTAATCTATCTATGGGTTAGCAGGCCACTGCAATCAGCACCAAACTCACACTAACTACTTTATCAATTACTGAGCATTTTGGTGTTTTCAATGTTTCTCGCTTTCAGCAACAGTTCCTGACATTCTTTTTTACATCATATATACATATGTGTGTTTGTCTATATATATATATATACATATATATACATTTATGTATATATGTATATATATATATATATATATATATATATTACAAATGTCTTGATGTCAGAGACAGATCTTTCTGCAAGCCTCTTCTTGAATCACTTCCTTGGACATATTTTATTAAAATAAGTTTTAGAAAACATAAAAATGGCTTCACTTTTATTTGTCATTATACCATTTTCTAGAGGATAACCTCAACTTATGTACTATTAATTTGGAATTCAATTCTTGTAATTATATTCTCAAGTTATTGTGTTGTCTTTTATTTATTACCTGTGGTTAGTTAGTTTTGACATTTAAATATGAGGCTATACATTTGGCCTTGTCAAAATGTATAAATATAAACTATGTGTCTCTGTTATTGGCATCTTTATAAATTTTGTCATACTGCTATCACTATCTCTGACATTTCATACCATATTCTACCAGTTAAAATAAACACCTTAAATGTATAAGAAAGCACATACTTACTATTCTAACACCAGAACGATTTCAGTTGCATTTTCGTAGACCTCATGAAGATTAATCACGTGGGGACAGGCCCTGGCCAGCTCCAACACAGCTATCTCATGCAGAATCTCTGCCCGGCAGTCCTGGCCTCTTCTCCTCTTTTTCAGAAACTTTGCAGCATACTCTTGGCCAGTAGATTTTGATATACATTGTCTAACCACAGCAAACTTTCCTCTAGATAAAAAAAAGGGCAATATTATGCCTTCAACTTAAAGTAAATTCTTTCACATATCTGTGCCATTAGAAAATTTTCTTTTCTCTATAAACTTAATCAAATACCTTATCCTCATGGTTTCTATAAAGTCTACATTAAATAACTATCATAGCAGGATAATCAATTTATTTTTACTATTAGTATGACACATTTTCAGGGTACTTGATAATTTTGTTTACCTACAAACTCTATGCTTCTAATAGGCACATAAGGGACATGGAGCCTATGGAGAGTATTGAAATACATTTTATGATCAGCCAAGAAAATTCGGGTTATCAACAGTTTGGTATAAGCACATGCAGTAATGCCATGTTAATCACTCTAGGAAAGTACAAATGCCTTTATCTCTCTAACAGACATACATAGCATCCCACCCAACCTTAAAGCACAAAGATTATTTCTCCCAGCATATGCATGTATTTTAGCATTTAGTTTTACAAAGATGTAAAGCTATTTTGAAGCGAGGATTATCTGAAGAACTAATAAAAAGCTATCAATTTGCATACTCCAAAAAAAAAAAACGCACATACACCCTTACATAGGAAGATTTACATTCAATTCTGGAGGGTTTGCAGGCTGAAACCTATCATAACCCTTCTAGGTTTTACTATAAAAAATCTCATTTAATAACCTCCACACTGAGGATAAACCACACTCTAGTTTCTGATACTAACAGGTACAAATAATCTCCAGAAAGTATGGTACTTTACTCTATTGCTGCAGTTAGTCTCAGAAAGATGTCTAACACCTATGTCAGCTGATAGCAGGGTCCCATTTAACCCACAGCTGGGGGGGGGGTTAGCAGAATAAATTGCTTGACTGGATTTTAGTTCTTACTACTAAGAACCAAAATGACAGACTCCTTCATCATTACTCCCAATTACCTCAAAATTAGTGTCACTAATCTAAAACATGTAGTTAATAACTAAAAAGAAACTACACAAGCTATAATCCAAAGCCTACATTTATTAAAACATACCACAACTAAAGAATGCTACATGTACAAACCTGATCCTTTATTGTTAAGTGCCAAGAAGTAAACCATGAAATATGAATTTCTAACTTTCTTGTCTCACAACTAGGGAACAATTTCTACCCTTAAAATGACTTTGTTTCTCTATTAAGTTTAACATTTACCAATTCTTACTGAGATATAGACGCAAAAACTTTTCTAAAACAAAGGGAATTTGGGATTTTTAGGAAACAAACTAACACACACTAGCCCTGAGATGCTTCTGAATAAGCAGCAGAGGTGGTGTGTTCACTACAACACCACACATTATGCTATGTTTTTAAATCCATTTCATTTTGTGTGTGTGTGAGGAGGAGTTGCTGGAGACAGGGTTTCTCTGTGTAGCTCTGGCTGTCCTGGAACTTACTCTACATACCAGGCTGGCCTCGAACTCAGAGTCTGTCTCTGACTCCCGAGTGCTGGGGTTAAAGGTGTGCACCACCACCATTTGGCCCATATTTGCATTTTTAAAAGTTTGAGATCTTGATAAAGTTTTATCCATATATTAACACAGTTATGCAGGCATATATTCACATGTACTATGAAACAAGATAAATACTTTAGCATAATTATTAGAGGCTTCAAGAGGAAAACTTAAGTATCTATTTCATATTCTAAGATGCTAGTTGTAGTTTAGAAGTAAAACAATAATCTTCAATATATAATGTTCCTGTACCAAATTTAAGAGAGAGAGTCAAGAAAACTCAAAACTTTATCAGTAACAGTCAATGCACACCCTCAGAGGGCAAAGCTGACTAGATTTCCCAGCAGTGAAAGGTCTAGCCGTTACTGTCTGCATTCTAGAACACACAATAAAATATGAAGGGATGGGGAGGGTAAGCCACAAAGGAAGCTGACGTTTATTCTGAATCTGCCTCACCCTTCTAACCACAAGGCCGATGAAACTTTGCCTTAGCTGGGGGAGGGGTGGAAAAAACTTAACCAACATGTTAAAAAACAGGAACAATGCCGTTTTTTGAGAATAGTGAAAAATGAACTTAGACTTACTTTATATAATTTCCTTTGTATTGCTAAGGGGAAATATATTCTCAAACACTGACATTTTAAAATTAAATATTAAAAGCCAGCTGATACAGAAAGATAACTTTGTAGTTTTCTACATGCTAGAATTATGTTTATTTATTACAGAATATGCAAGTCTCCCAGAGAAGCTCCGAACCCCAGCATCACTTCACAAGGCTCTCACACTAAGACTGGTTACGAGTTTGAAAGGATTTTAAAGTTCATCGAAGATTAAAAAATAATATGATTTTGATTGCCAAAGTTGGAATTTAAATGTGCCAATATCTACCATGTTAGTAATTAGCCAAAAGCAATTCAAAGACACAATTTTAGTCTCTTCCATGAACACATGTGATGCTGGCATATTAGCAATCTGACTTTGTTTAAATCAAATCCTACCATGAGCTTTTGCTTTAAAATGTTTAAAAGCAAACTAACTCTAATTCATGATGGTTCCTTATGACATCACCTCTGTAAGACAATTTAAAGTGACCCACTCAAGGTCTCTAAAAAGTTAAAGGAAAAAACCTCTCATTAGCTACTACACCTATTAATTTTCAAAGTTAACTTAATAAAGCTACTCATCCAAATAGTAGCCTAGAAAAGTAAGTACAAATGCTTCTTGCTGCACAGATTAAAACAAGTCATTGTATAAGTATCTGTTCAGATGTTTTGCAATAAAAGGCAACTTGAACACATTAGTCTAACTTCTCAACTAAGAAAAAGAGGCAGCACACAACTAAGAACATCACACAAATTCTGATCCAGAGCAAAGGCAGCTCAAGTAACTCCTAGCTCAGACAGAGTAACATGATGCTGCTATGTGACACAGATTGGCCACATCTAATGCCAAAAGGGGGTGAACGGGAGGAGAGAGGGGAGCAAAGAATAGGAGGCAGACAGGCATCCAATGGCATGCTGGGTTTCTTCAATAGTCTACTTACAATCTAAAAGGAAGCTTTTAACAATGCTGTGTCTAATCCTAGGCCTCTCATTTTAACAGAACCAATCAGAAGCAGAAAGTGGTCCAGAAGAGGGTAACTGCACTAAGGAAGATTTCTGGACAGTGGATATTCAGCTTTTGTTTTAATATTTGAAAGACTATATATATATTACATGCAGCTGCAAAGCAAACTGTCTATCAAGTAGAGACTAGCAGAACAGAAAGCAACACACTCTATGGTTGTGAGATGGGTGGGTTCATCTTTATGTTATGAAAGAAGGGCTGTGTGAGCCGTCTGAAAGAGTGGAAAGGCCAGGGCCTGTCTCTACTCAACATAAAAGACACAAGCAAAGAATTAGTTTTCACAGACAGCCAGTCTGAGATTCCACACTGAGATCTTCAGGTGGAAATTAATCATACTGTTTTATATTCTGCCTATCAACAAAAACGGATTTTCTTAGCTGGGTGGTGGTGGAGCACACCTTTTATTTCAGCACTCGGGAGGTAGAGGCAGGCAAATCTCTGTGAGTTCGAGGCCAGCCTGGTCTACAAAGCTACACAGAGAAACCCTGCCTTGGGAAAAAAAAATGGATTTTGTAAGCCACAGTAACATAAGCCAAAACAATGACCTCCACACACACACACAAAAACTGAAGATCTATATGACCACTGTCCTCTAACCCTTCACAACCACATTTAATTAAACCTAAGAATACACACAACAGACAAATAACTTGGCACAGCTTTTCTAATTATCATATATACTAAATGTCAAGGGCACCCTTGGCCATAAGAAACATATATTTGGTTAAGCCAAGGCAGAATTTATACAGGCTTCTATTTATAGAACACCAATTCTTTGTGATATAAAATTGTGATATTAACATGAGTTAAATCTTAACTTATGAAAGTGTGTGTGTGTGTGTGTGTGTGTGTGTGTAATGGAAAGGCATCCCTCTATTTCTCTTTTAGACAAACACAGTAGCTAGAAACTGAAACAAATGTATTAAGACCAAACATATAATACTATACCAAGCACTTTACAAACACTAAGTAACTTAACCCTAAAAAATGTAAATAATATAAATGTAATTATCCTCATGTCTTTTTCAGAAGACGACACTGGCACGAGGAGGTACTGTAATTTAAGTGAAGACACACAGATAGCCAATGGCAGAGCTCAGATGGGAAGTTGGCAGCCTAAGCTGTCCCTTCCCATTTGCAGATGCAGAAAGAAATGAGATCTGAAGCAGTGGGAAGTTTGATATGAAGACCTCCATAGATCTGATTTTCTAGTCAGTCAAGAAAGCAGAGATAGCGGCTTTCCTTTCCAATCACTGATAATGGTTCCAAGTGAGTTTTAGGGCAGAAATAAAAAAATTGAGTCTAGACAGCTCACATATCAAAGTCTCCTTACCGCCCAAGTTCTTTCGACGTAAGTGTATAGAAATTATTAAAATTTTCCATCTTCATCGGCGTTTGAGGAGTTGTAGTTAGCAAGCCTGAGCTACTTCGACAATCAAACCTTCTCCGAGACATGTTAGATGACTGCCAGGTCTGCTTCTCTGGGCACTTACTTTACCTAGTTAAGAGAAGAGACAGGATGTAACTTAAATGTAACTAAGAAAAAGACACACTATCTCAGGCAGGATGTGCACTACATCACACAACTCCAAATATAGTATTAAGACAGAACCACAAGGCAGATAGGGCTGATTTCAGGGGCTTATGCTAGTCACAAGGAGAAAACACCAGAAGCACACACTGGTACTCCCTCCTCTATGGCACCTAAACAAAACTCCTGACTTCATTTCCAATGAAGTGGAATGAGGTGATCACTTTATTTGGTTGTGAGTTATTATTCTTTAAAGCTACAATTACCTGTGTAATTTAGTATAGGAATGTAATGACTTTTGTTTTAACTTCATATGGCCAAACAAACTTGGTGGCACATTCACATTTTGTGAATTAGATTACAGTCCCGTGAAATACGAGAAATAGGATCTGTTCATGGATTGGCTACTATTAACTGATATAAAAACTTCATTAAGCTTAAATAAAAAATATAAAAAAGCTTTAATAAGTTGTACTATCAAACTACCATTTCATATTAATTGAATTCATGTAATTATGGTGGACTGTCTGCCATGTCTGCCTAATGAAAGATCAGGAATTATTCTGCTAGCACTCTCCCATAACCTTCTAGACTGTTCCCATTGCCACATCTCCCCACCACCACTTCTTGCTTGAGAGCAACTGTTTTTTTTTATTTAGCTTCATTCAAATGCCAACTACTATCTTCTACTTAGCAAAGAGACATTGTGACTGGAGTACAGTTTTCTGTTCATCTGTAAATTGCTTCTCTGTAACCTTTGGACCTGCAGAAAAACACTTCTCTAGGTAGTTGGAGATACATCTCTAGGAGTAAGACTACCAATGCAGTCTACTGAAAAACAAACATCGGAGCTGAAATGCTCTTAGGTCTGCATTCCATTTTCTCTTCATTCCAGCTAGGAAGCCCTATGGTTTTCAGTTCACTACTGTATCAATCTGCTTCTTGTTACTATATTAGAAGTACAATAGAGTCAATGGACTATTTATTAATAAAGAAAATGTGATTATTTTAGCTTACAGTTCTGGAAGTACAAGGCCAAGGACCCTCAAATGATGGCGACCTTCTTGCTGGAGAGTCCCAAGATATCACAAAGCATTACATGGCAAGTGACAGGGAGTGTGTGCACATGTCTGGTCTCTGGTCTCTTTCATAAAGCCACTAGGATGCTTCATCACCATGGGGGTTCTAACCTAAGGACCTTATCTAATCCTAATCACTTCCCAGTGACTCTAACCACAGACTTGAAGTCCTCATCCACTTAACACCTCACAATGACTGGGTGTGATGGTGCTCACACCTATAGTCCCAGCACTAAAACAGTCTGAAGGCAGGCAGGACTACTAAGAGTTGAGGCCAGCCTCAAATATACAGTGAGTATGAGGTCTGCCAAGACTATACAACAAAACCTTGTCTTCAAAGAGGAAAGATAGCACCTCACAATGGGAATTCAACAGGAGTTTAGAGGACAAAGTATATTCAGATCCTAAAAGCTACCATTATAAGCCAAACTACACCTTCCTTGTATTTGTTAGTGAAATATTAACCCCAAGTACCTCACACTGAATCTGCTTTTTCAGATAAGGGCTTTTAAGGTGGTGACTAAGTTAAAATGAGATCATTAAGGTAGGTCCTAATCCACTAAGACTAGTGTTCTTATAAGAAAAAAGAAATGTAAAAGCACATGAAAGACAAGTGACAATATTGGCAGAAAATGAACAAAGTGGACAGTTGTCTGGTTTGTTTGTTTGTTTTGTTTGTTTTTAAGGGTCTCACTATGCAGTCCAGGTTAGCCTAGAAAACTCTGTAATCCCTGCTCACCTTGAACTAGTTATAATCCTATCTCTTCAATACTAGGATTATAGGCCTGGGTCATCACACCTAGTGCTCAGTTAACTTTTTCATACCTTTTTAGTTCTGAAGACATTCAGTTTCACTGGTCACATTTTATTGTCTGAAAAAATCAATACAGTTAGGGTGAAGCTTTTCTGTATCACCTTTGAATTTTAGAATCTAAGATTTTAGAATTTAAAATCTAATGTTTGTACGTATACTTAAAAGTCCATGCTTATGATTACACTTATATTTTATCTCCACAAAAGAGGGACAGGCCTCATCACTGATAACAATTGGGCTATCTTCCCAACACTTTTCACCAACAAAAAAACATGGCAATTAATCAGAGAGACAAGTTTATGATTTTTCATTTTTCTTTCATATATATTTTAGATTCTAGGATGTTTGCCTCTCATAGAAACTAAAATTAATAAACATTTTATGAATAATTATTTTCTACTCTCAGTTTTCAAGAGGTAATATGATCCTTTTAGGGCATCAACAATTTATGTTTAATTAAGCATGATTTATAGCCTTAAAACTACTGCAAAAACTTAAATTCATAAACTCTAAAACCCATATATTAGCACACTCAACAAAATTGCACTTTCAAAGATTACTTTTTACCTCAGTAAGTATGAAAAAGTAAAGATATAAAAGTTTATAAATAGTATGATAAATCAGTTCAAGAGTCATTATTGGTCAGGTTTTTCAAAATTTTTCTTTGCATTTACATACAGCTGATGGTGTTCATTATCCAAATCATAGGTCAGACCTCATGCAGAGACTGTGTACTACTTCAGGCTATATACTAAATGAAAATCAGTATACTGTTCAGTGTTACATAAAAACACTTAGCAGTCTTTAATTAAACTTACTTTTAACTCTATATAATGAGTAAGAAAGTAACTTTAAAATATGTCTTTTTCTCAGGAACATTTCAGAACTGGAGGAGGAGAGTGCAGTGAGATGCTGTCCTTTAGGCAAGACATGGCTGTTGCACTTATCAACTCACATATCACCTGCACAAGATGAAGCTATTAAAAATTCCAGCATGGAGGGGAGGAGCTCCCACGCCCTGCCCCTAGCTGAGGAGCTATTAGTAAGTAGTTGATGACTATCAGAGAGAGAGAGCCACTTTTCTTTAGGAGTGTGACCACCGATAGATTTCCCATGTTGGTGACCTCAGATCCATGCATATATGGACAGCACTATCTGGACTCAGGAAGATTAAATAAATAAACAAACAAATAAGGACACCAACTTAGGAGGGAGACGTGATGGAGTTCTAAAGAGAAAATGGAGGGAGGGAGTGGACATGGATATGCTATATACATTTATGAAATTTTCAAATAATTCTACACACATACAGTGAGTAGTTAGAAAAGTTCAATACTGGGACCCTTTAAGAGCCCAAAATTTGAGATTCAAGTATACTAATAAATTAAACTTTGGCCTGTTATTTAGTTATATGAGGAGGAAAGGAACTTAATTTTCTTTTTTCTTTTTAATAAAAGGAAATGAACTGCATGACAGTCTAAACCAGATCTTACTGATCAGCCCACTTAAAGGACTTTCATAATTGGTCTTTGCTTGTATTAACTTCATACCCTAATGAATTCTGTAACACCTACATGAACTGATGGCCATTATAATGGATGAACATACCACAGGTACTTGTATGACAATAGATGTAGCTAAAAACAATGTTGGGCAAATGTAGCTTTCCAAATACATTTAAATATGCAAATTAGTTCTGATGCTCTGACTCATTTCATTATGGCTCTGTATCTCCTGGGATACAAGCTTTGCCTCAGAAGAAGACATTTCAAGAGACTAGACCGTAGGCACATCTACCTATTGCTAATATACCTGCATCAAAAGCTGTTTAAGGAGCCATATAGCTTTTTGTTTGCTTCCTTTTTACTTAAAAGAACTGTCAGTCTAGGTATTTTGCTATTTCTCCTCCTCTAGCCAATTTTGCCTATAATGGAGCACAAATGTCATCTCTGTCCATTAATATCTTCACAAACAGGGGTTGTCTACCAGTTCTGTCTCTCCTTGTATGTCCTAAAATTATCACCAAATTCTCAATCCAATCCATAGATCTTCTCATAGACTTAAAACCAATTCTAACAAGAATATAACATCCTAAATTCACAAATTGCCAGTTTATCTTCCTCAATTTGAAATCATTTAATATTTTACCTGACTACACCAATGAAAACATTTTAATGGACTTAGTAAATTTGTGTTCACAAGCAATTACAGACACAGTGCCAGAAGGCATAAATGCATAACAGAAGATACAAGTAAGATTTCAATCATACACTAGTATGATGTCATATTCTTTCCAGTTTTCATTAACTCCCATTACAATAATTACAATAAGAATTCAGATATGAATCCATGAAGGAAGGAAGAGAGGAATTGTTAGATTTGATCTGTGCCTTGGCTGAACTGAATGGAGAAAGCCAGTATGATGAACACTAAATAAACATCCTTCTAAACCTCTAACCAGCTCCATTTAAAAGTTACTCATTGCAATATTCATTCCAAGGTCATCAAATGAAAAGAGCGTATGAATGTAGAGATTACAGAATACAGTACTGAAAGCATTTGGGAATAAGTTGCCTGCCTTGGTCCTTTATTAGCTCCAGGAACTATAGCTTAAAATCCTTTGTAGCATGACACTCAAAGACCTGGGAGCTCAGTATACCCTTGCTCCACTTCCCATCATACTTCAGTCTCAGATTTTCTCTCCACTTCTTTGCTTTACTTCTCTGTCTGAAACATCCTTTCCACCTTTCCTTAAATGTCTACTTCTTATACATGCTCTGCCCCAGGAAGCTTTGCCTAAAAACCACAGGTTGACTTAAATGCCTTACACTTCAAACAAGAGGACTCTTGATATACTCCTTTACTGAAAATTTAATGTTAGATTGCAATCACACTTTGTGTCTAAAGGACAATACTTGTACTTGAGCTTAAGCAACTCAGCATGATGTCCCTACTAAGAATTTAGAAATGTTGGATAAAAGTCTATAAATGATAAAACGCAGCAGAGTGCATGCTTAGGTACATGTAAGAAATTAACCTGAGATTCATCTTGAAATTGCAGTACAGAAGCTTCCAGTATAGTCCCTGCCTATTTCAGAGCAGTTGGCTAATTGTGAAGCATTTAAAACTGCTTTTACAGAATTTCAGTTCAAAACAAGGTAGTTACATGACCTAAAATGTGAATAAAATCATTTTTATCATCTATTAAATGCAAAATTGAAAAAACCATGAAGTGTGGACTTACTAATTATTTCAGCCTAGATGACCACTTGTTTTCATGTCACTATCTATGTCAGCTAAGATCACCCTGAAAGCCAAATAGCTGTCCTATCTTCATCAAGTAAATGTGAATGAATATGGCAGGAAGGCAACTTCTCTCTTCTACGTGGGCACCAACGAGACCAAGTTGTGTCTAGGAAAAGATAAACTAAAGATTCACTTATCTAGCATCCCTTGGGAAAAAAAAAAAAAAAAGAACTTTCTGCTGTGCTGAAGAATGTTTTAGCTGGCCAGGGACTGGAAGACAGCGCCAGTGTTAATAGGTGATGACTTCCACGTGCTGTGTATTCTACTGACAGCACTGTACTGTTATGTCTGTTTTTAAATACTCAACAGCAAGAATAATTCAATAATCTAATCCCCGGAAAATCACAACAGGAAGCTGGCCGACTCTGGTCCAACCACTGGGATATAGTTTACACCAGGGATACAGTCCCAGGCAAGGAACCCCAGCCTGACACTGGGCCAAGACAGTAAGGCCTGCCACCACCTCTACCACCTTCAACAAAGAGTAAATCCTGGAACTGTGAAGGGTGACAAGATGTTGAAAAATGGAAATAATGGTGGGCCAGCAATTACACAGAGCTTGTCACTCATCAGATGGAAAATTGGGTTTCTGTTGTAAAATAAATTACCATAACATTTACTAACAGCACCACCAAACTACTGTTTGTTCAGTAACTATTACAATGCAAAGTGGAATCTAATCCTTCAAGGATTAAAAAAGACTTGCCATTTCACCTTTAAAATTTCTTACTGCTTAAACTTACATCCTCTTTTGTACTAGCTGGAAAGAACAAGGGGATCAAGCAAAACATATTATGTATAGTTATTTAAAAGAGAACTCTTTTACATGCACAAAATAACCAAGCATGAATTACATGCTTGGGAAAAGGATAAAGAGAAGAAAGCAATTTAACGAAGTGTGCATTCAAAAGTGCAACTTTTATCAAAATATAATCATATAAAATATATACTTGTAACTTAATTAAAAATAATACTTCTCTGCTTTAAACCCAGGACCAACAAACAAACAAACAACAACAACAAAACCCTATCTTTTTCTAGTAGTCTGGTATAGGAAACAATGTATGGTTGTACATACAGCTCTGTTGGTAACTGCCAATCTTACATGCATGAACCCCACAGGTTCAATCCCCAACACTGCTGCCATATAAACAGATAATCAAAATTGAGTTGGTATAATGGTGCAAGTCTTTCTTCTTAGCACTTGGGAGGCAAAGGCAGGCAGATCTCTTCAGTTCAAAGCCAGCTAGGTCTACAGAGTGAGACTGTCTCAAATAGCAAAAAACCTTGGGATAAGGCTCAACTACAGAGCAAATGTCAAGATGTAGAAAGTAATAATTTCGGACACAGGAAATATGCATTATAATATACCTTAAGAAAATCTAAGCCAGGCGTTGGTGGCGCACGCCTTTAATCCCAGCACTTGGGAGGCAGAGGCAGGTGGATCTCTGTGAGTTCGAGGCCAGCCTGGTCTACAAGAGCTAGTTCCAGGACAGCCTCCAAAGCCACAGAGAAACCCTGTCTCGAAAAAAAGAAAAAAAAAAAAAAAAGAAAATCTAAAGATAAAGTGAAAGTATGTAACTGATTTCCTTGATTTATGAGTTTTAAATTGAGTCTCTACAATTAAAATTGGAACATTATGACATAGAAATCCTCCTTTATAATTATCAAATTGCTACAAAACAAAGTGTTAAAACATGTTTATATGTTCACTTAGTACCGGCAACCAGCAAGCTGTGCATTGTTAGTACGATTTTTTTTTTTTTTGAGATAGGGTTTCTCTATGTAACAATCCTGGCTGTTCTAGAACTTGCTCTGTAGACCAGGCTGGCTCAAACTCACAGAGATCCCACTGCTTCTGCCTCCCGTGTGCTGGGATTAAAAGCTTGTGTCACCACTGCCTGGTTGTCAGTACAAAGTTAAAAATGAAATTAATTAAAAGTATCTGCCATTAAAGGCCTGTATTTTCTATAGGTGTTATTCACATTAATTAATGAAGCCTCTACTAAAATGCCACTTCTACCTTAACCACATTGTAATTTCTTTTTTTCTTATTTTTTTTATTACATGCAAGTGGAGAGATCCATGAGAGTAGGGTCTCACTTCTATCATGTAGGTCCTATGGATCCGGACATTTGGGTTGGGGACAAACACCTTCCGGCAGAGCCATCTCCCCGACTTGGAACTGCAATTTCTTATTTAAAAATCCTGTCACCATTCTATCCACATACCAAAAAGGCTTTCAAATTGTTACAGAAATGTTGTTTTCCTAACTTAAACATACGGTCATGTTAAGTAAATGTACTTTAATAATAAACCTTCATTTTAGAAAAGTATCTACAATGTATGTATATCTCAAAAAATTAACAATTACTTGAAATATCAAAATTATCAAAAAGATAAATGTCAGACAAGACTAAAACTTGGTCACTAGCTCTTTCAAATACACACACAACTTTAAAGCAGTGTGATTCAATTTTTATGAAACTCTTGAAAACCATTTCTGGGCATCTCACCGTAGACTGTACAACGGTGTACCAATGAGAAAGTGAGTTTATACCTCTCTGTCATAAAACTGTGCTCTCTGAGTTCAAAATTCCATGTTTCGTATGCCTTCGCTTGCCTAGTTACCGTTGCAGACCCTGCTGCCCAAGGCAGTCTCTCTCTCCTAGACTTGAAAACTTAAAAAGTCCACACTGTATCAAACCTGCAGGTGAGGTTCGGCGCTATCGGCACCACCGATGTAAACATGACGTCAGCCAGACACTCGGTGAATGTCAAACTCAGACCTAATGTTTGAGCATGATTGAAATTACTAGACTTTCGGACATATTTCTTAATTCCAACTTGCAAGCTGAAGCCAGCGCGCCTCTAGTCCCAACACAAGCCACGGAGACTGGCCACCGGCGGGCCGGCAAGTTTCTTTCAACTTTGTCTCCACTCCTCTATATCCCGAGAGCCTTTTCCCACGGCTAAGGCCGGGGCCGGGATAAAGGTCCAAACCGTGGCCATGATGTGGCTCTCCAGTCTGCGTATGGGTCACAAGCACAGAGGACTTCCCACCTCCTTTTAAAGGAGAGCCGGGAAGTCTCCGCAACAGCTCGGCTCGCCACGCCGAGACTGACAGCGGCCCACGCGACGGCCGCAAAGTTTCTCCGGGGCTGCGGGCCAGGAGCGCCCGCTCGCCCCGACGTGAAGACGCCCCGCATACACAGCACGCAAACCCGGGAACCACAAGGAGGACCACGTCCACACGCCGGGGAGGCGATCGGGCAAGGCCACGCTCCGGGACGCCGGCCCCGGCCGGCTCTCGGGCTCCCCGCCGCGTCCCCGCGCCCCGCACCCCAGACGCTGGCGGACCGCTCGGCCGCAGCTCGGCGCCGCCGCAGGCTCTGCCCTCCCTCCGACGCGGCCGCGGCTACCCAGGCTCACCTCGCACTCTTTCCCGCAGCGGCCGGTCGCCGTCAGCCAGGCCCCGGAGAGGCGACTCCCGGCGGCGACCGCACAAACGCTGACCGACGCTTCTTACAGTTGAGGTTTGAAAAGTGCAGCCGCGTCTGGGGCGCTGGACTTCGATAGGCTCCGCCTACTCGAGTTGAAGAGCCAATCGGAGAGCGCGCGGAGGGTGGGGTTGTCACGTGGGGGCGGGCCGGGGCGCCGGCCGGCCGCGCGTGCTGAGGGGCGGGCCCGCAGTGGGGGAGTGGGCGGGGCGCCTGGAGCCTGAAGGCTTGGCTGCTGGCAGTCTGGAACTGGAGAGGGGGCGGGGTTAGCCCCTCGCGACTTTTTCCACCTGTAGAGTGTGGTCCCTGGAGGTGTGAGTAGTGGGACGCCAGAGAGAAAAGAAGCCGGAGACGTCCCTGCTGTTCGCCTCTGTGACGACCACAGTCCTGTTTTTGTTTGTTTGTTTTCTTTTTAAGACTTCCTCGTCCTCTTCCTTACACCTGAACCTACTCTGCAAATAAAGATTCCAGCTTGCTACCCATTCCAGGAGAAGTTCTTGGAACCATAAACACGACTCTTGGTCTCTACAGCTGGGTGTCCTGAGACACTGGCTCAAAGCACTGTAGGAGAGACCGAAGACGAACTAATTGCTACTTTACTTTGCTCAGGGAAAAGATGAAAACCTGTATCTGCTCAACATGCATTGCTAGCTTCTTTATTTTTTTTTTAACTTTTATGACAGTGTTAGTAGAGTCCGAAGAGAGCCCAGGGCCTTTCGTATGATAAGCAAGGGCTCCACCACTGAATTTCACTCCCAGCCCACAGGATCTGTTACTTCTTGGAGACAGTTAAAAAATTGAAAGTTCCGTGCTGGACACAGTAGGTTTACATAGTATAAAAGATCCTGGGTTACTTATATGTATTACATACATATAGAATCTCATATTGGTGAAGGGGCTATTTTTTTAGTAGGAGTAAAAAAAACTATTGGAGAATGATAAAAGATCTTAGCAATATTTTTAAGGGGAACTGTTCTTCCTCTGTCACATTTAACCAAGATTTCCTCAAGCCATTCGATTGTTCTTCCTCCAAAGATACAAGCATTTAAAACATCGCATCCATTTCACGAAGCCTGTCTGTTGTTCCTTAGACAGGATTCAGTATAATGTATTGATTCTCTAAGCTTTGTTTAACTGAGAAGATGGCATCTTTCTGGCCAGGGAAGCCTAACGTGAGGATGGAAACAAAGTCACACACTGAAATATATTTGCCAGGGTGTCCACAAACCAATAAGACTGTTCCCATATTTTCTTTCAGGAAAAATCGGCTGCATCCCAAAGTCTCTGCATCAAAGTGGGAGCCAGTACCCTCTTGGGGCTCCTTGTGGTGGTTTTTGGTGTATGCATGTGTAACTGTACCCTTTTAGTTTCAACACTTTCTTGGTTGCCAACTTTTGTGTGAGGAGGGATGTATTTGTGTGTTTATGTGGGGTTTTGTACGCCTGTGCGCATACATGTGGAAGCCAGAGGTCTCCTCATTAACTCTCCCCCTTCCTTTTGAGACAGTTTCTCCCTAAGCCACTTTAGCTAAGCCAGCTGACCAGTGAACTCTGGGGATCCATCCACTTGTCTCCATTTCCCCTGCACTGGGATTACAGGAGACAGGTTCAGGCACCATCGCGTCCAGCTTTTTATATAGGGATCTGTGCTGAGGTCCTGGTGGCAGCACAACAAACATTTTTACCAACTGAGACATCTCCCTGGCCCATTGCTAACATAAAACAACAACAATAAACAGTTCTTACTTCAATCCTTTGTATGTGAGGGGTTTGTGCACATGAGTACAGGTGCCAGAAGGGGCTGGAGGAGCTCCCCTCTACCCCACCTGAAGCTGGAGATAGACATGGTGAGCTACCCAATGTGGGTACTGGGAACTGAACTCTGGTACCCTGCAAGAGCAGCGAGTGTTTTAACTAGTGAGTCATTTCTCTACCCACCACCGCCTGTCACCAGCTCTTAAGCCATCTTCTTACAGTCCATTTAGCTTTGAACTGTAAACAGGTTGCCTTCTCCAGCAATAGGGACTCTTTGTTGAGCTGTGTTCTCTGTTTCCAGCATGGTCACCCTGTGTTCACTGGTGCTAGGGTTTGAACTGTGAGTTACTTTTGTGCTCCTGTTCCAGATTCTTTTCTGCTGTTGTGCCAAAAATATCCTGACAAGTACCCTAAGCAACTTATGGAATAAAGAGGCTTATTTCACTTACAGTCTCAGATATAGTTTATCATTGTGAAGAAGTCCAGGCAGGATATTCAAATAACTAGTTATACCACATTCTCTGTCAAGAGCAGAAAGAAACTAGTGCATGCTTGCCCGTTTGCTTGTGCTAGGCTCAATTTCTCTAGTGTTAAGCAGTTTAGGAACCCTTACCTAGGGAATAGGGCTGCCCATACTGGCCTGGTCTACCCACACCAGTTAACTTAATTAAAAGAATTCCACAGGCATGTCCACCACAGGCATGTCCACTGGCCAGTCCAGTGTAGACATCTCTCATTAGCTTCTTTAGGGATTCTAGGTCAAATTAACAAACCTATCCATCAAAGTTCCAGACTTACACTCTTCCAAAGACATTCAACTACATTTGCTTGGTCTCTGGTACTGTGGTTCAAGTGAAAAGGAATATCCTATTCTGAGGAGAACACTGTAACAACCTGTGGTCTCTCAAGAAATTTCAGGATTCGGTGCACTCATAGCCATGTATGTTCTTATTGTTGTTCCTTTAAAGAGGAAATGCTCACGTAGTGTGATGGTCATTCTGCTGTCACTGTCTCTGCCCTGTTTATTGAGCTGATCTCCTTGAACACCACTGACCAGGCATGGTGGTGGTTATAGACTGATGGGATTCTCCCAATTCATTTGCACCTTATATGAACATTAAAATAGGACTGTATCTGGAGATGTGACCTTTACACAGGCAGTTGAGGTCATGTGAGAGGACCTTAACACAGTATGACTGTTGTCCTGCTTAGGAGAGAGTCACTCACAGCACAGACCTAGGGACAATCATGTAAAGATACCATAAGAAGGTAGCCATCCATGGGCCAAGCAGAGACCCCTCAGAAGACCCTCAACTTGACACCTTGAGCCAAGGCTCCAGACTGCAGAAAGGCCAGTTATTGTTCTTTAAGCTCCTCACTCTGGTACACTGACTAGGAGAAGATGGTCCTTCCTGTTCATGCTAGTGAATCGTGCTCATGTCCAAAATGCCCACTGGTCTGCTCTGATCATACTGCTATGTCCACCATACCAGGAAAGTGACCTTCCCCAGGCCCACTATCACATATTGACCAGAGAAAGTAATTCTCATCCATGATCTCATGTTTAATACCTACAGAGGGAGAGGAGAGAAGTGTTCTGCACAGAGAAGGTGGCAAACTCCAACTCCTGCCACCTCATCCTTAAAAGAATATCCAGAATGCCTATCTTATATATTAGGGTATATATATTTATCTAGGTGCTTATATATTAAGGCCCTAACTTCAATCCATGTGGAAAGAGAACAAAAGCAAAACACTTAACTACTGTCTTAGTTAGGTTTTCTATTGTGGTGTTATAACATCATGACCAGAAGCAACTTGGGGAGGAAAGGGTTTATCTCATCTTACACTTCCATATTATAGTCCATTGCTGAAGGAAGTCTGGGCAGGAACTCAAGGCAGGAATCTGGAAGCAGAAGCTGATGCAGAAGCCATTAAAGAATGCTTCTTCTTGGCCTGTTCTCTCATGGTTTGCCCAGCCTGCTCTCTTACAGCATGCAGGACCACATACCCAAGGGTCTGAGCCCGCCCATATGGATCATCAATCAAGGAAATGTACCATAGGCTGATATGGTGGAAGCATTTTCTCAGTTGAGGTTCCCTCTTCCAAAATGACTCTAGTTTGTGTCAAAACGACATAAAACTATCCAACACACCCACCCACAGCCAGACACAAGAGGAGTTAACCGCTTCTATAGAGGTGTGGCATAACGCTGGATGGAGATCAGGCCTCCAAATAACTATTCTCTGAAGGCAAAGATCGTCACTTTAAGATGTCAGAAGAAGACCACAGTGCTTAAGCACATCCATGATGTGCAAGCCCCTCACACCACAGACACTGATTCAGATCTCCTTATGCTCCTAGGCCCTGTTAGCAAAAGTAATTGGGGCAAGTCTTCCAGCTAAGAACAGTGACTCAGGATGAGTCAGGTCTTCCTCAACTGGTGACACAATTCATGACGGACTAGGGCCATTATGCCCATCCAACCACCTACTACAGTTTATAGGGGAGGACCTACAAAGACATCTGAAAAAAATACCATGCACATTAGTAATTCTATGTGTTCTAATAGTCATATTTAACAAAATAAATTCAGTTAATTTTGATACTACATTTTTTGAACTTAGGATATCTAAAGTATTGACATTTCAAGATGGAATGAATTATTAGGATATTTTGCTTTCTTTTTATATTATCTTTATTTTACATTCAGTAGCAATCCAGTTCAACCATTAAATGTGTTTATAGCTCACAATATTTCCCATGGAATAAAACAGATTCACATGTATAAGTTACTCTGAGTATATTAATTTTTAAAGGAAATGATCATAGTATCTATCTCTTAATTAAATCTAAATAAAAAGAAATAAAACAGAAGTTCAGCCCTACTAGTCACATTTCAAGTGCTCTACAGCCACAAGTTGGTGGCTGCTTTACTATATGGCTCTACAAAGCAGGAAATGTGCTCTTTTAATTGGTCTAAATCTCAAATTGTCTAATTCAGTGCTAGCAGTAATACAAGCTTTCAATAAGTCATAGTATCAGAAAAATTTGGAATTTCAAATATCATTAATTCAATAGCCCAGTTTCCTTGGTTGAGTTTTAAAAAAAATGAACAAGAGAAGACAGGACTTGAAGGCGATCGCAAACCTAAACTCATCTTTAGTGCATTCATGAACAAATTTTTGAGTAATATTTTTGTTTATGTTTTATTTATATTGCATTTTGCAATGCTGAAGCTCAAACTCAGGGTCTTGTGCAAGCACTGGATCATAATCAAGCAATGTAGCTTGGTCCTATGTCTCCTGCTACTTAATCTCAA